GGGGGATGCAGGGATGGGCGGATACAGGAGGAGGGGGGTCAGGAGGGTCCTGCACGTAAAGGGGGGTGGGGTTGAGGGGACAGGGAGGAGTGGGAGGGTGCAGGGTTGGGGGATGCACGGATGAGGGGTGCAGGTGGGGGCTCGTTGCATCAGGGTGCGGTAGGTACAGAGTGGATGATTGAGGGAACCTGGATGGATGCCTGTGGGAATTGGGAGTGTGTGTGGGCTGTAGGGTGGGTGGTGCAGGAGGGTCCTGTAGGTAGAGAGTGGAGGGGTTTGGGAAGAGGTAAGGAAGAGGGGCCTGGAGGGATGCAGGGGGGGATCGGAATGTGGGCAGCAGGGATGGAGGTGCAGGAGGGTTCCTGAGGTACAGGGTGGTGGGGTTTTGGGGGGCCTCGAGGAATGCAGAGAGGCCTGGAGGTGGAAGCAGGGAGCTGCAGGGGTGGGAGTGTACAGGAGGATCCTGTAGGTACAAGGTGGAAGGGTGTGGAGGGGCTCAGGAGAGGTGTAGGGGAGTTGGGGTGCAGGGAGAAAGCTGAAAGGATGAGGGGCAGAAGGGTCCTGTAAGTACAAGGTGGGGGAGTTTGGGGGAGGCAAGGAGAAGGGGGGCTGTTGGAATGCAGGGGGCGATCAGGGGGTGGGGGGTGGACTATAGGGATGGAGGTGTAGGAGGCGGGGTGGGGGGAGCAGGAGACATCCTGAGGTACAGGGTGGAGGGGTTGGGGGCAGAGAGGGCGAGGCAGTGGGACCTGGAGGGATGTGGGGGGAAAACTGGCCACTGTGGTGGGGGTTGCTGCTACCACCCCAGCATCCCCTTAGACACTGTCCCCATCCCTGTGCCAGGGTGCCACAGACCACCCCAATCTCTCCTGCAGGATCGGAGATCCCCCTGTCAAGCTACCCCCCCGCAGCCCCCCTAGCTCCCTTCCCCGTGGACCCCAAAGCTGGCCCTGTGCCTCCCCAGCCCGGCTTCACCCCCATGGCCATGTACCCCCCGCCCGGCCCCGCCGCCCAGTACCCCATGTACCCCTCTGGCCCCCCTGTCTACAACCCCACAGGTGAGCACTGGGGGGGCACGGGGAACCCCCCTATTCCCTGGGAGGCCTGGTGGCCTGGTGACTGTCACCTGCATGGTGGTGACACGCCATCTGCTCGTCCCTCAGCACCACCGCCCTACGTCCCAGCACAGCCCAGCTATCCTGGAGCGTAAGGCCCTGCGGGGACCCTGGCACCCGCCGCCGGCCAGCGGGGCCAGGCTGGGGGGGTGCCCCAGCCAGGGCTGGATCGGGCTCCTCCCGGCCATCCTGGGGTGATCCGGTGCCAGCAGCACAGGGCAGCCCTTGTGCTGCACACTGGGCCCTTTGTGGGTGGCTACCCTCCGCCCCCCCCACCCAGCTCTGGGTGCCAGCGGCTGTGAGCATCTGCAGGTGGGTCCCCGGAGGGGTCCCCTGAGGGCCATGCATCTCCACCCCTTGCACGCCCACCTCTGGATTCAGCCCCGGCTCTTCCTCCCCGGGGTTGGCATTAAACCACATCTTGTGCCCACAGCCTGATGTCATCTTGGAGACTCTGTAATGTGGAGAGAAGGGCAGGGCAACAACCCCAACCCCTTCCCTCCAGCTGCAAGATGGGGGAGGAACATGAATTCTGCCTGTCCCTTCTGCTTCCAAGGTTTCTCCATCCAAAATTGTGTTGAGATGAGTAATTTGCACCAAATCAGCCACTGGGATTTGGCCAGCCAGCCTGGAATGCTGCCACCCACCCAGCCCCCTTCACTCAAAATGAGGGCATGAAACCACCCCTGGACAGCAACCTCAACACTGGTATGGGCACTGTTGGCGCAAGGACAGCTCCTCTATCCATGCCCCCTTCCCTGGGCAGGAATAAGCTAGGGAAGGTGGGTGAGTGGTAATAACCCCGATGGTTGTTCCTGCTGGGATTCTTCCTCCCCATCATTGCTGGTTAAATTTGGGATCGGAGTCCATCAGTCCAGGAGAAGGGCCAGACAGACCCGCCCTGGAGGGACAAACCCCTGTCCTATCTCCCAGGCCCCTGCATCCCATCACCCCCAAAACCGTGTAGGAGCCTGGGGTGGGTGGAGCTGGGGGAGTGCAGCTCCGAGTTTTATTGAAGTGGGATGGAGGAGAAAAGAAATAGGAATAAAAATAATAATAAAAGCAGTGAGGTGGGTGCTGGGGGGGAGGCGGTGGTGGGTGTACACAGCCAGCTGCGTGGGGGGCTCAGGATTTGGGGACACCCCGATCCTGGAGGTAGAGGTCACGGATTTCAGCCAGGCTGCGGCTGAGCCCGCCCAGCGCTTGGGCAATGCCGCGCAGCACCGCTGTGGTCTCCCGGCGGCTCTCGGCGTACTCCTGGCGAAACGCCCGCATCTCTTGCACCAGCCGCTCATTGGACTGCACGAGGCTGAACTGGGGGCACTCCGGGGTCCCGTCCAGCCCCGCAGCCCCGGGTGGCCCCGCCTCTCCCGCGCCGCAGTGACTGAGCTGCTCGGCCTCCTGCTCCAAKAGCAGGCTCGGGAAGTCGGAGCCCAGCGGCTCCTGCTGCCCGCCCAGGTCGCCGAGGGAGAGTTCGGGGGGCACGGAGCGCGGGGGGCTCCGGCTCCAGCCCTCACCCAGCTCGCTGGGCGGGCAGATGCCAGTGCACGGCAGCCGATGGTCTGAGCCGCGGCCAGGAATGCCGTCGGCAGCGGGGCTGTGGAAGGGCTCAGTCTTCACCTCCACGGGCTCCTCCTTCACCGGCTCCTCCTTGACACCTGTGGGAGGGACAGGGACCACAGGGCAGCTGGAGGGATCTCTCGTGGTACATGCCCCCAGTGTCCCACAGAACAAGTGACATGTCCTCTTGTCTCTACCCCTGTGCTCCCACATCCTCTCTACTGCACCCAGTACTGGTTCCATCTGTACATCTCTCCATAGTCCCATGACCCTCATGATGGTTCAACCCCATACTGTGTCTCTTGTCCCTCTCCCGGTCCCARTACTCCCATATCCATGTCCTGAATGTGGTGTCCTCATGTGCCAGCATGATCCTGGTACGCCCACGTCCCTGTCCTAGTCCACACATACCCCGGTCCTGAATGTGGTGCCTCCATGGTGCTGTGTGGTACTGGTGCCACCATGTCTTTGTTCTCATCCCACTAATCCTCATATCCCTGTTCTGGTCCCAGTACCTGCATGTACCTTGTCTCTGTCCTGGTCACTGTCCCAATCCCACCATGTCTGCCCTGTTCCCAGCCCCTTCTTATCCCTGTCCCCATCGCAGTAGCCCCTGCCTTTTGTCCCTGTCCTAATCCCAGTCATCCATATCTTGTCCTGATCCTGGTACTGTTCTGTACTCTGTTACTCTCCCGGTCACCCATGTCCCCATCCCAGTACTCCACGCCCTGCCCCTTTCCCCTGACTCTGTCCCCTCTGTGTCCCTGTCCCACTGTTCCTGCCCCGGTCCCTCCATGCACTTGTACTGGTCCTAGTGTCCTGTTCCTGGCTTTTCCCAGTCCCCTCATGTCTGTGTCACCATACCAGTCCCCTCACATCCCTGCCATTTCCCTGGATTTGTGTCCCAGTCCCTCCACATAGCTCTCCCTGGCCTAGTGCCCCCATATCCCTCATATCCCTCTCCCAATCCGCCATGTCCCTGCCACCGTCCCTGTATCTATGTCCCGGTCCCCCATGGCATGGTCCCAGGGTCTCTATCTTGATTTCCTGTGTCCCTGTCCTGGTCCCTCTACATACCTGTCCTGTTCCCAGTGCCTCGGTCCTGGTCCTCTGGTCTTGGTCCTGGTCTCCTGTGACCTTGTCTCAGAGCTCAATGTTTCAGTACTGATCCCTGTGTCCTGGTTACTCCATGTCCCTGTTCTGGTCCTAGTGCCTCTGTGTCCCTGTCCTGATGCCCTGTGTCCTGGTTCCCCAGGTGCTGGTCCACGTCTCCTGAGTCCCTATCCTCATCCCTCCATGCACCTGCCCCTGTGTCCTGGTCTGCTGTGTCCCTTTCCTGATCCCCCAAACCCTGATCCTGGTCTCCTGTGTCTTTGACCCTGCATGCACCTGTCCTCATCCCAATGACATCTTTGTCTCAGTTATCTTGCATGCCAGTGCCAGTCCCCCCTGTCCATGTCCTGGACCCTTGCATCCCTATCACAGTATCCCCATATCACTGCCCTGGTCTCCTGTATCCTGATGCTCTCACAACCTGGTCCTGGTCCCCTGTGTCCCCATTTCTCCAGGCACCTCTCCTGATCCCAGTGGCCCTGTGTCTGTGTCCTGGTTTCTCATGCCCATGTCCTGGTTCCCACATGTCCTGATCCTTCCTGGTCCTTGTCCCTTGTGACCCTGTCCCTCTATGCAGCTGTCCTGGTCCCAGTGTCCCCATGTACCTGTTGCTTGTCCCCACTTCCTGATCCCGTTTCTCCCTGTCCCATTCCATTTCATCCATGGCCTCTTCTTGGTCCCCCATTTCCCATTCTGGTCCCCCAGCAAGTCCCTGCCCCGGTCTCCCATCTCTGCATCCTGGTCCCCCATGTCCCTGTCCCACCATACACCTGTCCCAGTGTCTGTGTGCCAGTCTCCCCGCATCCCGGTCCCAACATCCCCGTATCCCTGCCCCGTTCCTCCCCTGTCCTGGTCCCGGTCCCGGTCCCCCATGTCCCTGTCCGGTCTTCCATGTCCGTTTCTCCACTCCACGCCGGCACCAGCATCCCCGTGTCCCTATCCCATCCCCACGCCGCTCCCTGCACACTCACCGTGCGGTGCCGAACCCTCGGCGCGGTCGGTGCTGGCGGCGCCGCGAGGTGCCCAGCCGGGCGCGGGGGCGGGCCCCGGGCCGGGCTCGGCCGGGCCGTTCCCGTTGCTCCCGTTATTCCCGGTGCTCCCGTTCCTAGCGGCGGCCCTGCCGGCCGGACCCTGACGCTCCAGTCGGTGCCGGCTGATCTTGTCGCCGGCGCGGCGGCGTAGCCCCCGCCAGCGATTCTTTACCTCGCCAATGTCGCGCTGGTGGCGGCCGGCGGCGTTCACCTTGTGCGTGATCCGCCACCAGATCTTCTGCTTCTCGTACGCGTTCACGGTACCGGCGGCGGCGCCAAACAGTAGCGGCTCGTACCGGAGCACTTCGCTCATCAGCACCTCCAGCTCCTGCAGCGTGAAGTTCGGCTTCCGCTTCAGCAGCCCACGCCGCGCCCCACCGCCGCCCGCCGCCGCCATGCTCCCCGCCGCCGCCTCATGCCGCCGCCCCGCCGTCCATCGCCGCCGCCTCGTGCCCTGCGCCGGTTCCCCGGTACCGAGCGGAGGGAGCGGGGCCGGACACCCCCGACAGCCCCCGCCGGGCGCTACCGCTACCGGGCTTGGGACGGACCGGAGGGGCCGGGGCCGCAGCGCGCCCCCTGCCGGCCCCGCCGCGCACCGCTGCGCCCCCGGTTCATTAACGGCGGCGTCGCCGGTGCGCTAACGGCGCCCTCTGCCGGCCCCGTTGCGCACAGCAGCGCCCCCGCCGCGTTAACGGCGGTCCCCGCCAGCCCCCCCCCCCCCCCCCCCCCATCGGGAGCTGCACTGCCCGTTGTTTAGGTGATACCGCCGGTGTTTGGGTGACGCCCCTAGTATTTTTCGGTGATGCCTCCGGTGCTCTGATTCCGGGGCCGGCCGGATGCTCGGTGCGGGATGTCCCAATGGCCCCGGCGCTGCCCGATTGGGGTCCAGCATTAGCAGGGACCGCCCCAAGGGCCAGGAGCGTGGGGGAAAAGGGGCGCGGATAGGACACGGTACCAATCCTGTTCCTCCCGCCGGGGCCCCGGCGCTGCCCGGCTGCAGAAATGCCCCCCAAAACGGCATTTCGCTGATATCGGGAGCTGCCTCTCAGCCAAGCACGTAGGTGTCCCGGGACAGGGGGAGTCTCCCAGAGGTGCTGCTGCACCCTCAAACCGGCCCRGCCCTGTGGTGCCAGCAGGGAGAGCAGTTCTGGGTGACCCCGGGGGTTTGGGGTGACCTTGGGACAGCCTAAGGGTGCCCAATTCTGCTGGACTCAAGGGGTTTGGGGTCACTGTGGAGTGGTCCTATGGTGTCCAGTTCTAGGTGACTCCAGGGTTTTGGGGTGTCTGCACGGCTCTGGACACCTGGCTGTCCGTGTCCAGCAGCAGCAGGGTATTCCATTTGGGGGTGTTTGGATGTCCCATTTGGGGGTCCTGGGTACCCCATTTGGGGATGTCGGGATTGGTGGGTGACCAGGGACACTCAGGGTGAGGTGTCCAGGTGGTCCCAGGGTGCCCAGTTCAGGTTTAGCTGTGGGTATGGGAGAGGCTGGGGGGGGCTGAGCCCATTCCCAGACATGCCCTGCACCCCAGTTTGGGGTCTGGGGGAGCGGAGCCGTCCAGAGGCGTGGGAAGCATTGGGTGAGCTTTATTGCTGATGCAGTGACTGCAGTCATACAAATCGTGATCAAGGCGTCACGACAGGAAGGTGGGGGGGAGTGGGCATTGTGTGACCCCAGAGCCCACTGCCCACCCCGAGCCGGTGCTTTCCCTGCTCCCCCTGGGGCAGATTTGGTTCCCATGCTCTGAGGGCTCTGGGGGTCCCCCAGCAGTGCTGTGGGTGTGTATGAAATGCCCTGAGCTCCTGGCCCCAGCCTGGTTCCTCATGTCCCACCACTTCATGCACCCTCTCTCCCTAGCTGCTCCCTTCTCCAACCCTCCCATTCCTCCTGATGTCAGGCCTGAACCCCCAATCCCACAGCCACTGCTGTGCCTGAATCCCAAAACTCTGCTAGTTACCCAGAGACCTTGTGGTGATATGATGGTCTGGGTATCCCTGCTCCCCCCAAGGTTGGGGGTACTCCTGCTTACCCCAGGCTGGACCCTGGATAGAGGGTGCCAAACCCCTTCATCGTGCACTGAGGGCGATTTCCATAACGATCAGCTCTGCAGACCCCTGCTCTATTCTTGGCATCTCTGTCTGGAGCGGGGCACGGTGCTGGCAGAAAGAAGAGCTTGAAGGCTCCACAACCATCAAAAAATAAATACAATGTCCTCCATCACATTCTGCAGGGCCCGGCCCATCTTTTGTGCCCCAGAGAGGTCCCTGCTCCTTGGCGTCGGTCACTGCAGGTTCCAAAGGGCTCATCATGGAAACAGTCATAAGAAAGGTGAGTGTCTGAAGGTCTGCCGTGGGCTGCGGGGGGAAAAAATCCTCCTGCTCCCTACTGCAGCAGCTTTGGCAACTCCACCTGCAGGGAAGGACACTCCATTACTGGGAGAGCAATGGGAAAGGGTACAGGAATGTCCCTGCTATGATCCAGGGACATCCAGGGCAGGGTCAGATGGGATATTGGGTGGTCTGGCCCTGGCACAGGGTGCCCAGAGAAGCTGTGGCTGACCCTGGATCCCTGGAAATGTTCAAGGCCAGGTTGGACAGGGCTTGGAGCAACATGGGATAGTGGAAGGTGTCCCTGCCCATGGCAAGAAAGAGATGGTCTCTAAAGTCTCTTCCAACCAAAACCATTCAATGACCTCTTTCTCTTGGCCAGGCTGGCTGTCCCCACACTCCAGCCCATGGACAGTCCGGTAGGGACACAAACTATCTGGAGTGTGTGAGATTTCCAAGGCTCCATTGCTGGGGCAGCACCGGGGATGAAGCAGCCTCTCCAGCCATTCTGGGCAACCTCCCACCTCAGGGACATGGGCTCGGCTACACCAACAAGACATCAAGAGCTCAGTGAGTTTTAAGTTATGGATGGATTCTTCCTTGTGTCCCAACCCCTGGATCCTGGTGGATCTGCCTGACACAGGAGCTCTGCCAAGGGATGGATCTGTCCTGTCAGGCTCTCTGCCAAGGGATGGATCTCCTGTTGGATGCTCTGACCAGGGATGGATCTGTTGACCCCATCTGCTCTCTAGGGACAGTGTTAAAACATGCTTCAGGAGCTTGGTGAACTCCTGCCCCATGTGCTTGGTGAAGGGATGTCCCTGCTGCTGCTGCTGCAGGGAATGGGAGCAAGGACACCCCGCTCCAGAGAAGGACAAGCCCTCACTTGTCCACTGCCAGAGTGACAAAGGCTGAGACCTCAGGCCCGAGCCCCCAGCCCCACCCCACGGGTGAGCCCCACCTGGTCCCACACTTGCCTTCTTGAGCTGTTTGAGGTTGCTGGAGCGAATGGCTGCCAGGAGCTGGTCCCGAGAGTTCTTCTCCTGGACTGGCAGTGCTCGGTCTCCCAACTTCCTCTGTGTGGCTGGCGAGAGGGAGTTCTTCAAGTTTTCATTGATCAGCAGTGGTGGGGCAAGTGGGGGAGGAGGTGGAGGTGGTGCCGCTGGTGCCCCCCCTTTCTTGGGAGAGCTTTTGGGGGAAGCCTTGGGGGATGGCTGTGGGGATGCCTTGGGGGACCCCTTCTGCAGTGCTCCAGCCTTGGGCACTTCCAGGAGATCTTTCTTCTCCCCCCGCTCCTGTGCTAGTTTCTGCTCCTGAAGGCGTTTCTGCCTCTGTCTGTCCATGTTTCGGCTCAGCAGGTTGGTGACAGTCATGCGTGGCCCAGCCAGCTCAAAGTGGTAGCCGAGTTTCAGGAGAGTGGTGTTCTCCTTCAGGAGTTTGGCGATCTCCATCTCTGTCTTTCCCCCACAGATGTGCCGCTGGTTGTGGAAACGCAGCTCTGTCAGCGTGTTGTTCTGCAGCAGTGCTCGGAAGATGGCCAGGATGCCCTTGCCTGTGATGTGGTTGGAGTCCAAGTTGATGCTTGTCAGCACTTTGTTGGACTTGAGCATGATGGCAATGGCGAAGGCCACATGGTCGTCGGCACGGGTGTTGGCCAGGGCGAACACCTTGACCACGGTGTTGAACTCCAGGGCCTCTGTGAAGCGCACCAGGGTCTCGTTGTTGATGCAGTCCGAGTTGTTCACGTTGACCTCGGTCACCTCCGCATCATTGTTCTTCACCTTCTCGATGAGCTCATCAAAGATGCTGGAGGCTTCATCATCCTTGGCTTGATCTGCAGAGCTGCTGGAGGAAGGCTTGGAAGGCCTGCTTCCAGCCTCTGCCTTGGTCTCCTGTTTCTYTTCCAAGTTTTCTGCCTTTTCTGCCTCTGTCTGGGATTTATCCTTTTCATCTGCCTCAGGTTTTTTCACAGCTGAACCCTTTCCCTCTTCTTTTTCATCTTTTTCTTTCTTACCTTCCCCTCTTACGTCTTTCTCTGCCGGTTTCTTTGGTTCTGAACTCTTCTCCTTTTTGTCCTTCCCTGTGTCCTTTGATGCTGAATCCTTTTCTTCCTTTTTTTCCTTCTCTGTCTCTTTTTTTGCTCCTGAGACCTTCTCTTCCTCCTTTTTATCCTTCCCTGAATCCTTCTTTTTAAAATCTGAACTCTTCTCTTCCTCCTTTTTATCCTTCCCTGCATCCTTCTTCAACTCTGAGCTCTTCTCTTCCTCCTTTTTGTCCTTCCCTGTGTCCTTCTTCAACACTGAACCCTTCTCTTCCTCCTTCTTCTCCTTCCCCATTAGCTTCTTCTCCATAGCCTTGACTTTATCATTCATGGCTTTGTTCTCTTTGCTCTTGGGCTCAGTCTCAGCTTTACCTTTCAGGTCTGTTTTCTGAACACTTTCTTCCTTTTTAGAGTCTTTCCCCACTTTAGTATCTCGTTTCTGGGCCAGGTCTTTGGATGGAGATTCTTTTCCTTTTTCTTCATTTTTGCCTCCCTTATGCTCGCTCAACCTGCTTTCCTAGTGAGAGAAAAACACCTGCGAATTACAGAGACAGGTGTCTCCGACCTCCAGATTTGCCACCCCAGTGTCACTGTCACCAACCTCTGTCACATGGGAACATCCTGCAGTTTGTGGCTGGCCTTTGGAGCAGGAATATTTGGCCCAGCCAAGGTCCCAGCTTCAGGAAAGGGTCCAGCATCCAGGTACCCTGAATGTAGGCAGAACCTGCAGGACCCAGGGGTGATGAGGTCCTGCTGCAGCTCTCTGAGGCAGCTCTGCTCTCCTTCTGCCTCCAGTCCCTTCCCAAAGGGCTCCAGAGGTCAGTGGGAACAGGCCATAAACTAACAAGCTGCAGGAGGCACCTCTTCTCATATCCCTACAAGTAATCTTTTTCTAATCATCTTTCTAACTAGGGATGGAGTGCCTCTCTCCCTGTGAGCCCCAGGTCCTTTCCCATCTTTCCTAAATGGTTTCCAGCTGGATTCTCAGTGGCTTTGCACAGTCTGGAGCCCAACACTTCCCACATTGGCCTGGACATGTGTGTAAGCAGAGGAACACCCACAGCAGTGTCTCAAGTGACATTTCTGACCCAGCAGTCACTACAACCCTGGGCTACCTATAACCATTCTCCTTTCAACAGCAGTGTGCAGGTTCGAGCAGAGAACCAAGGAAATGGTAACATTGCATTTATTGCTTTGTATTGCATGATTTAATGCTTTGTAATGCATCTGCTCCCAGCGTCCAAAGACATCATAGGAGGGAAGGGCTTAATTTGGAGGGTCTGGAGAAAGGTCAGAAGGAATTTTTGGTCATTTTTACAAGCACCTGACCCCTGCCCTTGTCACGGCGTGTCCTGGGCATTGTTGCCTAGGAGCCTGGGGACACAGCCAATGCCTTGTTGCAGCCTTCACCCAAGGCTGAGGGGGTGAGAGGGGTCTCCATTAGCATTGATATGACCTTTGGTATGTTTCCCATACTCCTCTCTAAACTGCCAGGGGGCAGGGATAGATGGGATATTGGGCAGGAATTGTTTCCTGTGAGGGTGGGTAGGCCCTGGCACAGGGTGCCCAGAGAAGCTGTGGCTGCCCCTGGATCCCTGGCAGTGTCCAAGGCCAGGCTGGATGGGGCTTGGAGCAACCTGGGATAGTGGAGGGTGTCCCTGCCCATGGCAGGGGGAGACACTGGATGGGATTTAAGGCTTCTTCCACCCAAATGATTCTGGGACTCCATGACATGAGACACTTCCCAAGGAAGAGGAGCCAATGCTTCAGGTGGCTGAAGGCAGATGAACGTGACACTGGGACTGAGTTTGCTGCACAGTGGGGGATTGTACTATAAATTTCACATCAAAGTTTAGCAACTTAAACTCCCTTCTCCCTGCTCCACAGCTAGGGAACACACAGGTCCACACCATGGGCCTGACTCATCATCTTTGCTGGGGGAATTTTAGGACTCCAGGGAAAGGAGGAAGGAATATGCCTCTGAGAGATACAGCTGTGATGCCTTTACAATCTCCTTGGATCCTCTCAGGATTAGGACAGCACCATGGCTTTACCCAGAGCCTGGAACCCCAAATCTGAATCCAGACACCCCAGTCTACAGTCAGGCTGGACTCCTTCTCTTTTCCATCCCAGGACTCCATGGTGTCCGTGCTGGGGCAGCATGTGGTTGTGCTTTCCCCACACGCAGCACTGCCAGCCCTCAAGGACAGAATTTTTTTTTTTTGTGGAAAGAACTGGCCTGGCTGTGCATAGGGCAGCCCTGGGGACTGTTTGTACCTGGAGTATAAACAGATGCCATTGGGGACGAGAGAGCTGTTTATTTAGTTAAGAGATTTTTTGGCTCCCTGGTGCAAAGCTGAACAGGGACAGGAAGGCACATTCCAGACCCCTACAGAACCTGGCGTGGCGTCCACACAGCCCCCATTGCTGCCACCTCAGAGACAAGGGACAGAGCTTCCAGAGGTGTCTCAGGGGCTGCAGGGAGCAGGTGATGCCACCTCCTCTGTCACCCATCTGGGGATCCTTCTCACCATGCCGTGGCCTATTCCCAGCACCAGGATGGCACACAGATGCTCAGTGACATCCCAAAGCACCTTGGGGGAGAAAGAGCCCTGGCAGGATGACTGTGTGGGATGGGGATGCTGCTGTTCCCCTGCCAGTGCCCAAAGGGGTCCTCTCCAAGGTGTTTGGGAGTGCCCAGGTTGCAGGTTCCTGTGAGAAGGGACATTTGTGTCTCTCAGGGCTCTGCAACCCTTTGTTGATCACAGGCTGAGCACCCCTTGAGTCAGAGACAGTAGCCTTATCTCCACACCAACTGCTCCGAAAACCTTTCTCCTTCGCAGCCTAAGCTCACCCATCCTGACAGTGGGGAACCCTGAGTCTCCCCTGCTTGCCCTGGGCATGTCAAAGACCAAGCAGAGCAAAGGCTTGGCCAGGAATGAGCAGGTCTTGGAAAAAGGGATAAAACCCTGGTGAGAATGATCAGCAACATCTCCTATGCTCATAGAAAGTGATACATTCCTCCAAGCAAATGAGACTAGAGGAAAGTTAGATCCATGGCAAATCTCTGCTTGGGAGGGCTGCTGCAGCACGTGCTGGGAATGTCCTGTTATTCCATTAAAGCTTCCAACTGTGGATGTGTGGTCATGTCTGCAGGTGCTGCAGTGTGGGGCAGGTCTGAGGGGAAGGGAGACCTGGAGCCAGAGAATGGGATGTGGGAAAGGAGGTGGGGGCAAAAAGGAATCAGGAGAAAAGGAGTTGGGAGAAAAGGCGTCAGGGGAAAAAGAACCAGCTGTGGCCTTAGGTATGGGAAAACGGGAATGCAACAGATATGCAGTGGCCATGATGGGTGTTTCTGCCACTGTAGGTAGCATTTGTGGGATCAAATTTGGTATGCTGGATGGAAGGATCCCATCAAAGAGCTGCAGGTTAATGGAGGAAGTGCTGGCTGCTCACAGGGGGTGAGAGGAATTCAAGCTGCTTCATCTCCTGTGAGGCTGCCTTGGGAGGGCCCTCAGCAAGTACCTGGCTCCACTGACAGCAGAGGGGGAGGAATCAGGAGGAAAAAAATCCAAGCAAGAAACCAGATCTGTGTTTTTAAAACCAAGAGTCACTGAGGCCCATCTCCATCCCTTGCTGGAGCCTGGGGATGTTTCCAAAGCAGGTCTGCTCTAGGCCCTGCCTGAGGCCATGTGTGTGCCCAGGAGGGAACATGCCCTTGTCCTCTGCTGCCTTTCCACCCATCCCTGGGCTCTTGCTGTGTCTCACTGGCCCAGCCCTGCTGCAACTGCCAGCTTTGGGTGGTGTCAACAGCCCACCACTGGTGACAATGCCAAAGCCCTCACCTCTGGGCTGGAAGTGTGGCTACAAGTGAAGTTTGGCAGCAGAGCTGCATGGCAGGGGATGGAGGAGAGAGAAAAGCACCTTTTCACCTGCTCTGGAACCCCTGGCTGTCCCCATGGCTGCCAGCACAGCTTCTCCTGCAGCCCAGGGCCTGCTGTCCCCTCTTCATGGCCATCCTGAGTCCTACCTGCTCACTCCTCTCTGCCTGCTGGCATATTTACCYTGGGTACCTGGAAACCAGTGCTGCTGCACCCCCTCTGTGTCATTCCCTCTGCCACAAGCACAGTTATTAGGGGAATATTTTTACACAGCGTGTCAGACCTTTAAAAATAAGTCTAATGAAAACAGCCTGGTACTCAGTTGATTAATCACCCATGTTTTGATGAACTGAAATGCCTTGCCGTTTCCTCTAAATAGACTAAAATGAGCATTGCCATGACTTGTTAGCATTTGTAACCCTCAAACCCACTCAGATGTTGCCTTAAAAGGCAAAGGAGACTGGGAACTTCTTGCCTGGAATCCAAGCGCTTGCTCCGACGCTGAGCAAGGGATGGGGCTGGGATTAAAGCTGGGAGTGGGGGGTGTGGAGCTGGAGGTGGAGTGGGGGTCTCACCTCCTGCACCCAAGGGCTCACAGCTCATTTTGGGGTAGAAAATTGCTCGTTTAAAGGTAGTGATTGATCTGACTGTTTGCTCAGCAGACAGAATGTGGGCACAGAACAGATTTCCAAGGGAAAGGGGAGGATGGGTTACCCAGGGATTCACAAATCCTGAACTCAAGATGAGGGAAGGGGCATTTGGTGGCATGGCAGCTGCTGTTACATCAGTCCCTTGGCAGTGGGGTGTATGGAAATAGGTTTGCAGAAGTTTTGTGTTTGGAAGGGGCCAGCTTTCCCCAGCCTGCAGTTATTTTCAGAGGTATGTCCTGGGAAGAGTCCCTCATGGTCCCACCATGGCAGGACGTGCTTGGCACAGCCAAAGAACAGGATGTGAGGACAGAATCTCAGGGGCATGAACAGCTTTTGTTCCAGGAAGCTGAAACCCCTTGGAGTTCAAGGAGGGTTTGGCTGAAAGGGGAAGCCAGAAGGTCCCCAACATCAAAAGGGCATGGAGCTGCTAGAGTGAGTCCAGAGAAAGCCATGAAGTTTGTCTGAGGGCTGGAGCCCCTCTGCTCTGGAGCCAGGCTGGGAGAGCTGTGGGTGTCCAGTCACAAGAGGAGGCTCCAGGGAGACCTCMGAGCCCTTTCCAGGGCCCAAAGGGGCTCCAGGAGAGCTGGAGAGGGACTGGGGACAAGGGGTGGAGGGAACAGGACAAGGGGGAATGGCTTCCCACTGCCACAGGCCAGCAGGGTAGATGGGATATGGGGATGGAATTGTTCTCTGTGAGGGTGGGGAGGCCCTGGCATAGGGTGCCCACAGATGCTGTGGCTGCTGCATCCCTGGCAGTATCCAAGGCCAGGTTGGAGCTGCCTGGGATATGGAAGGTGTCCCTCCTCACAAGGAGGGGTGGAACTGGATGACCTTAAAGGGCCCTTCCCACCCAAACCATTCCATGATACAAGAGTCCAGGAGTCTCCTCTGTGCAGGTCACTGCTGGGGACACAGGTCATGATCCTCCCCATGAGGAAAGGGGAGTGTCAGCAAAAGATCTCCAGCCAAACCTGCACTTGCAGCTG